GTGTGTCTACATCTAAACTCTGCTCCTGCCAATGTAACTGTCCCATGATAACTTAATAAATCCTCTTCCCTAAACAGCACGGAGTCCAGGTCAATGCAGTTAAGTCAATGCAGTGTCAATATAGACATGGTTCTACTTCCATCGGTTGTTGTTGGCCTGTAGGAGTTCTTGCACAGTGCCCCACCTTGACTGGTCTCTTTACTATCGTGAACTTTGCTGCCAGAGGACTTTTCCTTTTAAAAGCCCTAGGAATTTTTGAAATTCCTTTGTCTGGTTGTCCAAGTTGGTGAGCACACCTAGCAGCTCGCCATTACTGTAACTGTCTGGCCGACCATGCTGCAGCTGTGTGCCTGCCTAGAGTACACAAGAGGTGTTAAATCTCCTGGCTCTGTGAGGAGAAGAGGGTGTGTAGGCAGCCGGCAAAACATCAACACCTGTGAGCCGATTGCTCAGGGGATACAGGGAAAGGGCTGCCAGTGCTGTGTGAAAGCCAAGGAGCTGCAGTGGACGTACTAAACCAAGCAGGCCAACAAAATTGATCTGGTGTGGAGCTGAAGCTGTGTTGCTATTACAAAGAGCTGCAGCCATCCTTGGCGGAGACCCCACCTCTTCTCCCTAAGAGCCCCATGGATACTGTACTTTGAAGGAGCCTCAGCTATAGGCCTTAACTGTGAACAGAGGAAGAGGAGGAGGAGTGTGGGAGACAGGTGACCAGGAGATCCAGCTGTTCAGCAAGCCAGGGCATGTTTCTGACTCCACTTCAGTGCTGCTAGTCTTGACAGTCAAGCATGGGCAAGCATGATGCAGGGAAAGGAACCTCTGGTAAGTGTGCTGTTTGCTTTGACATTGCAGGGATGGAACTCCCAAAGTAGCAGGATGCAGCTGTTGATTTACTCTTTTGTACTTGTGCTGCAAGAGGTAGTGAAACAACCAGCAGAGGTAGATTCGTTATTTGCTTTTCATTCCCCTTTAAAGTTAGGCAGAGGGACCATTCAGAGCCGTTTGTTTATGTGCATTGGGATCCTCCATAGAGATCTCAATGCAACTCTGCAATCCTTTGTCAAAGGTTTCTGGAAAGGATGGGAGACTGCCTTATTTCTGCTGCTATGGTAATATACTGTCCCATGCCACTCAGCCACCACTTCAGCCAACACCATTGCAGTACACAGGCCTGGGATCCCAGCACTAGCTGAGCTCTTTCTGTCTCTGTTACCATGAGTGAGGAAAAAAAATCACCACTGCTTAGGGAAAATGGTGTGAATATTCAGTTCCATTGCCTTATACACCTATACGTGAGAGCCAGTTCCTTAACTGCTTCCCACCTCCTGCTCCCCAGGTCATTCTCACCATGGCTCCTGGTTTGACTGGCACTGTTCTGTATCAGTCCCAAGGAGAAGTGAGAATGTAGTGCCTACAAGTTGGGTGGCCTAAGTGGAGGAAGTCCGGGAGTCTAAGTTTCAATTTCTGTGATGAATACACTGACAATGGTACCTGTCAGTACTGCTGCTGGTATCAAGCCTGAAGGGACTATTCCTCCACACCTGTGGAATGCCTGAGCCAGATAAGGAGGAGAAAGAAGATGATATGGCCTAGGAGATCCTGCAAGCTTGTGTTGCGTTAAAGAACGAGACCAGGGCCTTGAGGATGATCTTTCAGATGGCACGGAGAAGGAAAGAGTAGAGAAGAGAAAAGCCTGGGAGTTCAAGCAGGATAAGGAGAAGCGGCAGCAAATTTAATAGGGCTTCCAAGGCAGCACACAGAGATACTGCAGACTCTGGGAGACCTGCAGGTCCAAGAATCCCATGCTTGCTTTCTTCTGCAGCCCATAAATAACTCAATGGTAGGACCTGCCAACTCCACCCTTCAACAATACATGTGGCATAAGGAGCAAGGCCTAGCCTACCACTCCACCCCAGGGGACGTTAAAGACAATCATAGCTCCACATACACTGACCTGTGAAAGGCACAGGTGGTGTGTATGTACCTGGAATGGAAATGACTGTTCTTTCCCTTTCAGATAACTTAATTAAGTTTTATTGCGTTCTAAATGTGTTTGCCTGACTACAGAATAAAAAAAAAATTTTTTTTTGGAACATAATTCTTATTTATTCAAAATATACATTGACTGATGTTGAGCAGGCCAGACACACACCAAATCCTGTTACTTCATTTTGTGTCAGAACCCCATAACATCATTCACAGACAATATGAATAGGTCCATTGGCAATTCTATATTCCTACACATAGCACTCATGACAAGGTTCATATCAGGCTGCAAAAGACCAAGGCCAGGTAGAACACACTATATCAACACCCTCAACTGTGGCTCACTATTAAAATGGTCCTTCAAGGCCTTCCAGAGCCATATTGCTCTGTTTTGAGCTCTGTTAGTCCTTGTATCTGGCTGTGCATATTCATCAGACAGCCATTCCATCATGTCAGCAGACATTTCCCCCTGCCTGTCGCGTTACAGATATTATACACGGCACAACAGGAAGCTATAGCCATTGTGGGGTTTTTTTTTTCACTGATAAACAATCTCATAAGTAGACAATGTCAGATGACCAAAGGAAAATTCAACTGTCATTCTGCACTTGAAACATTCATTGGTGCTGTTGAGGTGGCAGGTGTATGGCTTCATGAGCAAAAGATAGGCTGGGTATCTCAGAGGCACAATTACCATTGGGGTGTTAGAATGCCAATCTGCTGGCCATGAAAGAAAGTCCCTGCTTGCAGCTTTCTGAAACGTCCTATGTCCTTAACGAAGTGCATGTCATGTACGTTCCCTGACCAGCCCACACTGATGCTAAAATATCTCTGGGGATACACCAGCACTTGCATTACCATAGGAAAGAATTTCTTTCTGTTGAGGCACTCTGTGGCCAGGTGGTCTGATGCTAAACTAGAGATAAATGTGCCATCTGTTGTTCCACTGCAGTTTGGGAACCCCAGTGCTGCAAAACCATCCACTGTCTGGCACATTGTTCAGAGTTACAGTCCTGTGTAGCAGCTGGTGATTCATAGCCGTGTACACTTGCATCACAATAGCCACACAGTAGATTTTTCCAAATTTATTCCTTGCAGAATCTGGCATTGCAAGTTTCCACAGTGCACTCACCACTCCCTTCTCAATTGTAAAGGCAGTTGTCATTTTGGTGTTCCTGTGCTGTAAGGCTCTCATACAGTCCCAGGAGTGCAGACCTGGACATCCAAAAATTCTGCAGCCATTGCTCATCATCCCAAATCTGCACGACGGTGCAATTCCATGAGGCAGCGCTTGTTTCTTGGGCCCAGAACCAGAACTCCTCCGTCTGCGGCTGGTCTGTGAATGCCAACAACAACCTTGAGTTCTCTCTTTCTATGTCAGTCAGCCATCTCACTCCTAGAATTGGCATGTTACTCATGATTCCTTTTGCAGCCCTGAAAATACTGCAGGATCTGCTCGCAGCATTGATCACAATGGTGCAGAGCTGTACAGGAGCCATGCTTCTGGCAGAGAATATGGCCAGCAAGGAGGGAGGAGAGGCTTGTGAGGATTTTGAAAAGAGGCATGAAATATTATGAGATGCAGACAAAATTATGGGATGGAGCACATTACGTTATGGGATGTTGAACCCATGCTCCCAGTCACTACTGCACGACGCCTGCATGAGGCATTGCAAACGCTTCTGAAACCACCCTGCGCTGGACAGCAATGAATTGTACATTGGGCTAGTTACATATGGTACACTGTACTCTGCATTGACATAAGTGGTCCTGGTGAGGGCGCATACCAGCGACAGAAGGAGTGTAGCGTGGACACTCACAAGTGATGTAATAACTGTGGTGACTATATGCCATATAACTTGTCAGCATAATTTTATAGTGCAGACATAGCCTTCAACTGATCAGTTGCATATTCACTTGCATGTTTTAAACACTGTGTATTAGTGTTTCCATCCCAAATTGTCTGTAGTTTTAGCCCTTTTTACAAATCTAATTTTCTGTCCCAAAATTGTACACATTGTTGTTTTTATTTCTGCCTTTGCAGAAATAAGTGGAATGCTAATGAAAATGAGTCCTTTAATTAAATATTCTGGCAGTCTACTTCTCCAGCTTTTCAGGCTGATTAGATTATAGACACACTATAGTAGATTAATTTGTGGGTTTATTTCTTGTCTCGTTATTAAGATCTGAATTACATTGGCTATGTGCCATTCTGGGTTTCAGTGTTCAAATAGTTCACTTCTGAAAATCAGTTTTCAAATCATATGATGTCGCAAGCAAAAATTAGCTTAGTGGGATCATTTTAGCTGCAATGTTGACATATCATTAAATTATGACATGGCTTAGCATAATTGGCAGTAAAAGAGACCCACATCTGAAACATGGATGTGTTGCTGGTCTCAGATTAGGTGCATGTGATTAGTATGCATGGGTAGGTCACTCAAACTCATTCCACTCATCCCTTGTTAATGCAGATCTCTCATCAAACAAACAGTAAATAACCAACATGAGAATCACAGCTGCAAACTAATGGCAAATATTGCAGGAGTGGTTTCTTGGTTCCAGTTGCTCAGAGCAGTAGACTAAAAATGTACAAGTAACTTGTTTAAATTTTATCTAACACACAGACCAAAGTTATGTCCTAATATTGCATATACAAATTCTCTTGCTTTTCCTAAAAAAAATGAAACACAGATTGAGTGGGAAAAGTTTCCAATACAGAAACTAAGGAAACATTTTTCATTTTAACTGAAACAAAAGACTAACACGGCTGCATCTCTATCACTATTTTTCATTTTAAGCATCCTTAATTGTACCTGTGGCCTAAGTATTAAGGGGCAGAGTTGGCAGAATAAAATGTCATAAGTAAAGACTCTTAAAATAAACTGTTCTATACTAGATAAAACATCCAGTTTAATATAACTGTTATTGGTTCTTAATATAACAATTTTATTTTATTTTTTAATTTGCATGAAAATAACAATTCTTGTTTTTTATTCCCCTCTTCTAACTAGATTAAGAAGAAACAGCAGGAAGTAGTGGGCTTCTTAGAGGCCAACAAGATTGACTTTAAGGAAATGGACATAGCTGGTGACGAGGATAACAGGAAATGGATGAGAGAGAACGTCCCAGGTGAAAAGAAGCCACAAAATGGCATCCCCCTCCCTCCACAGATCTTCAATGAGGAGAAGTACTGTGGGGTGAGAAGTCATTTGACATTTTCAGTAACTTTGTAGACATTCTTCCTTAAGCACATTTCAAAAGTGCCCTAAATTCCATTTCTCTTCAAATAGTTTTTCTTTTGAGTTAATAGTTTTAGGAGATGTTTCCTTAGCCCTGAAGAGAAATAGATGATATGACTGTTCCCTTTCACAGAGACACCCACAGAGAAGGGGAACTTGACAGGGAAATTCTGCTTTGTGAACTGCATGGAATTTCCTAGCTATCCTCTGCAGAGACAGTGACTTGTGGGGGTTGCCAGGTGTCCGGTATTGAACCGGACAGTCCAGTATTTGGACGTTGTGTCCAGTAAACAAATTGAGAAAATACCGGACATAAAAATGTCCGGTATTTTCTAATGAAGTACTTTTTTCTGCTTTTCTCAGGCCCGGCTCAGCGCCTGACAGAAGCCCGCTTGGGACACGTGGCAATTAAAGGGGCTGCTACCGCATTTTGGCCTTGACCTCCCAAACCTTTCCTTCCAGGTCTCACTGATTACTCTCCCCTTTTTTTTGCTCAATACATTTTTATCCAGTATTTTTTTTTAAACCATCTGGCAACCCTAGCCGGCCACACTCACGACACTTCCTGGAAATCCTGTGTCCTCTCCCACAGCCCCGGCAGCATAGCTCATTCAAGAGTTGTTCTTCTGTTGGTTTCCCACCCACACCCTATTACTGCTTTATGTTGAGAGAGCTAAAGGGTGCTGAATGGGAGATGCTGCAGCTTTCACTGGATAGCCAGGGCACAAGGTGATATAGAAAATCTGTCTCTTTCCTCTGTCCTGGTGTCCAGCTCCAATCATTTGCCTTGATATGCCTTCCACACACACACAAAAGGTCCCAACCAAATAAATATGGACTCCCACCCTCAGGATTTTCATGCAGAGGTGCACCACTTGCAGCTCAGGGAGGGCTTGCAAGATATTGCTTTCTTGGTTCTACTCCCTTTCTATCATCAACTTTGATGCTTTTCTTATAATGTTGCTATTCCTTTTGTCCCCTTTGTGCCACATAGGCTATGTCTAGACTGCAGGCTTCTTTCGAAAGAGGCTCTTTCGAAAGAGAGCGTCTAGACTGCAGGCGGATCTTTCGAAAGAGCAATCCGCTTTTTCGAAAGAGAGCACCCAGCGAGTCTGGATGCTCTCTTTCGAGGAAGCCCTATTTACATTGAAGAATGCCTTCTTTCGAAAGAAGGCGTTCTTCCTCGTGAAATGAGGTTTACCGCCATCGAAAGAAAAGCCGCGTTCTTTCGAAATAATTTCGAAAGAACGCGGCTTGAGTCTGGACGCAGGGGAAGTTTTTTCGGGAAAAGGCTACTTTTCCCGAAAAAACCCCTGAGTCTGGACACAGCCATAGTGGGTTTTCATTAGTTTGTTTAGGCTCAGTGACTGTAACTCTACATGCTTGATGGAGCTTTTTCTGGTATGGATATTTGTGAATAATATTCTCTCAATACTGTCAGAGAGCTCCTTAGGTCCCTGTTAGTACCTGGCTCAAGCTGGGAAGCTAATGATTCAACCAGTGGCCCAAATGCGGTGATGAATCCTGCTCACATGTCACCTGAGGCACTAAGAAGTAGTTCTTTAGGACTCCCATCACTTGCTCGAAATGCTGTCATTGACTTTAATGAACCTTGAACGGTTATCTTCTCCTTGATGACAGAAATAGACTGTGCCATTAGAATTACCAAGGAAACAGAATTTAGTAGAAAGAAAGAAAGATATATTTACAAAATATTCTACAGTATAGAAGATTATAATCCTGGAAGAGGACTACAATTATCATTATTATTATTTTCTTGTAGTGTGCACAATGTGCTAGGTGCTTTCCAAGTGAAAAATAAGGTACAATTCCTGCTCAAAGGAGCTAAAAATAATGTTTTACACCTGGAACTTAGAGTTCCATAGGCAAAAATAAGTGCATATCTTTGCACGCACATTGGACACATGAAAATACATATTTTGGGCAGCTATCTAAATATCTGTACATTCAATCATTCCTAGAACCTATGTAAGTTAATAAATACTTGGCTGCATGTGTGCAATTGTGTGAACTTCTTTTGCACATGAACCTTAGGCCTCCCTTTCTGAAAATTCAGCCCAATATTTCTTATCTATTGATGATCAGATATCACAAATATTTAAACAATGGATATTTTTAAATGCGCAACTTTTCCAGCTCTAAAGATTTGGGGAGACAGCCTGTCCTCTCATGTATTCTCAGCAAACAGGTTTCCTTCCTTTGTTATAGTAAAGAAAAGATCAATGGTTTGGGCCTCAACTGTGAGGTAATCAAAAGTCAAATGTGAAATTGTGTACATGAACCTATTTTGAGTTATAGTCCAAATGCTCAGATCATTTAGAATTAGAAAATGTAACTGCTGTAAAAATGTAAGACTTATCTCTCAGAATGTACATTATCTAATTTGTTCCTTGAATCAGAGTACAATTTATTTCATAACTTTTTCTAGGAATTAAGAGTCCAATTACTTCAGACAGTCTTTCACTTGTGTGTTGCTAACTCTTGCAATATTATCTGTTTATCTTCAAGCTGTAGCTCTTGGAATAATGTGATTACATGAGAATCTCAGTTTAATTTAAACATAAAGAAATCGTGTCCTGGTAATTGTAGAGGAAAGTTTGAAATCATGACCTGAATGCACCCTAGTGGCTCAATCGAGAAGGCAAATAAAAAGCACATCAGATTCATGATTTTTAAGTCAGTATTATGGGTTTTGACTGCCTCTGACTCATGAATTTTGACTGTTTAGGGTAGGTAATACAGAATCACTCAATGCTAAATCTTTCTTACCAAAAAAACTTTAAAAACAACGAATGGTCCTGCAGCCCTTTAGGGTACGTCTACACAGCAACATTATTTCGAAATAACTAGCGTTATTTCAAAATAAATTAGACCGTATCTACATAGCAGGCAGATATTTCAAAATAATATCGAAATATTGTCAAGCTGGAGGATTTCTTACTCCAACTTGTGTAACCCTCATTGTACGAGGAGTAAGGGAAGTCGGAGGAAGAGTGCTCTATTTTGAAATAAGTGCTGTATAGACATTCCCAATTTCAAAATAAGCTATTTCAAAAGAAGCTACACAATTGAGGGTGTGTCTATACTACAGGGCTTTTTCGAAAAAAGTGGGGGGGGGGTTCGAAAAAACTTCCCCTGCATCTAGATTGCTGTCGCATTCTTTCAAAATTAAATCGAAAGAATGTGGCAGTTTTTTCAACCACGGTAAACCTCATTTCACGAGCAAGAACGCCTTTTTTCAAAAGTGCTCTTTCCAAAAAAGGCGTTCTTGAATGCAAACAGGGCTTTTTCAAAACACAGCATCTAGACTGTCTGGGTGCTCTTTTTCGAAAAAGCGGCTTGCTTTTTCAAAAGAAGTGGTTGCAGTCTAGACGCTCTCTTTCGAAAGAGGCTTGTAGTCTATACTTAGCCTGAGGTAGCTCAATTTGCGTAGCTTATTTCGAGTTAGAGCTATGAAAAAGGGATGAACAGTGAGGTGACAAAATTTGCAGATGATACCAAACTACTCAAGATAGTTAAGACCAAAACAGACTGTGAAGAGCTTAAAAAGATCCCACCAAACTAAGTGATTGGACACAAAATGGCAAATGAAATTTAGTGTTGATAAATGTAAAATAATGCACATTGGAAAAAGCAAGGGATTTGGGTGCCATTGTGTCAGCAGACCTCATAATGCAGGACTTTGGCAGGCTTCACCACCCGAACCTTCAGTCCCTCCTCCTAATAGCCTGGAAGCTCCATGGCTGACAGTGACGGTGCTCCAGTGCTCAGATCGGGTGCAGGAAGTCCTGCTGGGGAGTAGGAACCCTTCCACTAGGGCCACCTATCTGGCTAAATGGAAGCGCTTCTCCATTTGGGCTGCTCAAAAGAGTATTTCCCCAACAGACACACTGGTCCCCTTGGTTCTAGACTACCTGCTCGACCTTAGGGTCCAGGGGCTGTTCTCTTCATTGATCAGGGTTCACTTGGTGGCTATTTCTGCCTTTCACCCAGGCTCTAGGGACACCCAGGCTCTTTGTGTGTCCTGTGGTTCACAGATTTGTATGGGGTTTGGACAGAATTTACCCACATGTGTGCCAGCCCATACCCCACTGGGATCTAAACTTAGTTCTGTCCAGGCTCATAGGGTGACATGTTCGCTGCTGCACCTCTTCTGGAAGGTGTCCTTCCTTGTAGCTATCACGTCTGCCAGGCACGTGTCCGAACTCAGGGCTTTCATATCAGACCCCCTTGTATACAATATTCTTCAAGAGTAGGGCTATCCTCCGCTCAGCTGAAGATTAGAACTCCCACCTCACCTCCTAGGGTTTCTGCTTTGGAGTCACCTACATGGAATGGACATGAGCAATCACTCAAAGAAGAAAAAGCGGTTACTTACCTTCATAACTGTTGTTCTTCGAGATGTGTTGCTCATGTCTGTTCCAAATTCTGCCCGCCTCCGGACTACTTTCTTCAGAGCAGTCCAGTAAGAAGGAACTGATGGGTTGGAAGGCCAGCAGGGGTATATATTAGCTGATGTAGCAGCTCCACTCCTGCTGGCCCAATGGGTGCTGTTAAGGGAAGAAAACTTCCAACAATGTGTGCACGCAGCGCGCGTGCACCTACATGGATTACACACGAGCAACACATCTCGAACAACAGTTTGAAGGTAGGTAACTGTGTTTTCCTGTTCACTATGTAATCTGGATGTTTAGAGTAGACTGATCGCTTGCTCTTTATTTTTAATGATGGTAACATATGGTGAGGTAAATCCCTTACTTTTGTACCTAATATCTAGCATAGCTGATAGTCAATATAGGATGCATGTTTGTCTTGTATTTCAGCAGTAGCCATGGAAAGTATTGTCTGTAGTGTGACAAAAATGTATGAGTTTATACTACATGTAAACCCTTATGGCGTATTATTCTTTGTCTAAAAATATGGTTTGACTATATTTTCATACTGTTGACTTTAACCCAAATGTAGATGGTGACACTATGATAAGAGTATTTATTTATAAGGTTACTTGTGTGCAAAGTATCCTTAGATACCTACAACACATTGAAATTGCTGTTTTTCTTACTGTGCTATCAGTGGATTGGTCCTGGATGTGTTCCCAGGTCTGATTATCAACTAGAGATACTATGTATGTGCATGTAAGGGGAGGGGGCACTAACATTTTAACAATTATATCAAAAGAGGAACTAAAAGGCTATATTTATTTAATATTAAGCAAATCTTAAGATTCATCACAGTAGTAGCCTTTGTCCTTCTTTCCCACTTACTTTGTTTCTCATACACAGAGGTGTAGCGAGGGGAGGGGCAGTTGCCCCTGGGTGTCACACTAGGGGGCGCCAGTTTAGTTGCCTCTGCAGTGCAGCCTGGCCGAGACAGTAAGACCCGGCTTCTTTATACACTGACAGCCTCTGTGCGAGATCGGAGCAACCCCACCATTGCGACCCTGAATTCGTGGATGGAGGGGTGGCAGCTGGAGTTCAGGGATGACTCCAACTTCCTCCCCCTCCCGGTCTGGCTGGAGGTTGGGGTGCAGTTGCAAGCCAGGCAGAAGCCGGAGCTATGAAACCCCCAAGAGCTGCAGGGGCTGTTGCAGGCAAGGGCCAACCCCTACAGCTAGGCCTCTCCACTCACTGGAGGGGAGTAGAGGGAAACCGGGACCAGCTCCTGGAGTCCCTTGCCCCCGTGAGGATCTGCTGCAAGAGCTGCATCACACTCACCACTATCCAGCCCTGGTAAGCTACCCGTCTGCTCATACACTGCAATATTGTACATGCTTGAAGGCCAAATTCTACCTGCTCCTTACACAGATGCAGAAGTGTATTCATTTTGCCAAGTGACATTAAACACGTTAATCTAAATATGCTTCTTTCTGTGTCTTAGATTCTCCAAAACTTAAGTCATGAGAGTCGTGGCTCAATATATGGAAGGATTTTATAGGGTCTGTTCTCTATTGCATATACTGCTTTTCAATATCTTGTTCTTTTTTAAATTCCTTTTCTAGGACTTTGAATCCTTCTTCTCTGCTAAAGAAGAAAACATTATTTATTCATTCCTGGGTCTGTCACCTCCCCCAGGTTCAAAGGTATGAACTTCTGCACTTTGCTGGGGCCTATTCATTTTAACTTAGTAAAACATGAAGGTAGGCACTGACACAGAATGTAAAACAATGAACAGAGACAAGTGTGGCAATAAGAAGTTAGTTTTCTGGAAGGGGTTGTAGCAAAATCTTTTAAGAAAAAAAAATGATGTAAGTTTTCCAATAGATAGTATTCCATCAGTCCTCTTTTCACCATGGATTTTGTACTATCTCTATTGCCACTTTAAAAAAATACCCTATATTTTGCCATTTTCAACTTTGAAACAATACAGTAATCCCTAATTAATTCCACAGGTTACATTACATTCTGGGTGAAATCTATACAAATGCTTGTGCACATGAACGGGCTTGTGCTGAAGAACTATACAGTTCTAGGTTTACAGAATCCACCTCCCCCACCCCTGATGGGAGGGGCACAGCTTCTTCAAGAAATGATAGGCTGTGACTCAGCTTGCTTTGACAGAGGAAGTTGTAGATACAACCCTGGACTCTTTAACTAGGCCAGTGGTGTTTCCCAACCCACCTTTCTGCACTGTCTCACATATAGCTCAAAGTCCAGCCCTGTTGTATTGGATCGGGCAAATTAGTTGAAACAATAGTAAAGATAAAATTGTCAGACATGTAGAAGAACATAATTTGTTGGGCAAAAGTCAACATAGTTTCTGTAAAGGGAAATCATGTCTTACTAATCATACCTAAGGGTATGTCTACACTACCCTCCTAATTCGAAATAGGAGGGTAATGTAGCCATACTGCAATTGCAAATGAAGCCCGGGATTTGAATTTCCCGGGCTTCATTTGCATAAACGGGGCTCCGCCATTTTTAAATCCCCGCTCGTTCGAACCCTGTGCTTCCTAGTTCGAACTACCGTTACTCCCCGGCTCCATGATTTGCATCCCCAAGGTGCTACCACAATACCAAGAATTAATACGGTTGATACAAGTTTTTACAGCACTTGTAGGTCCCTATCCAGCAAAGCACTTAAATATGTGTTCATGGGCAGTGGGTGAAGGTAGGACTGGAGGTGACAAGCCCCCTGCCCCCGGCCCCGGCCCTTCTACACAGGCCCTGCCCCCGACAGGAGGCAAGTCACTCCCTCTCACAGCACATGGGCAGGTGGGGGTATGGTCCCCCTCCTCCCCAGCCCCAGAGCACAGGTGGCATGCATTCCCCCGCCTCCCCAGCCCGAGAGCACAGATAGCCCTGAAGTACGGATGGTACATGTCCCCAGCCTCCCTGGTCCCGGAGCACAAGGATGGTGGGCAATGCATGTCCCCAGTGCCTCCCCAGCCCTAGAGTGTATTCTTATCTTTAAGTACACGAGGAACTCTGCTGAATTCAACTGAGTTCACTCTCGTGTGTATCATTAAACATTTGCATAAGTCATTTCAGAGTCAGGGCAAAGCACACGATTTTTTTCCTAAATGTGGAGTGTTGTGAGCAAGACATGAGAAGTCATTCTTCCGCTCTACTCTGCGCTAGTTAGGCCTCAGTTGGAGTATTGTGTTCAGTTCTGGGCACCACATTTCAAGAAAGATGTGGAGAAATTGGAGAGGGTCCAGAGAAAAGCAACAAGAATGAGTAAAGGTCTAGAGAACATGATCTTTGAAGGAAGGCTGAAAGAATTGGGTTTGTTTAGTTTAGAAAAGGAAAGATTGAGGGGGGACATGATAGCAGTTTTCAGGTATCTAAAAGGGCGTCATAAGGAGGAGGGAGAAAACTTGTTCATCTTGGCCTCTGAGGATAGAACAGGAAGCAATGGGCTTAAACTGCAGCAAGGGAGGTTTAGATTGGACATTAGGAAAAAGTTCCTAACTGTGGGTATGTCTACACTGCAAAGTTAGTTCGAACTAACTTTCCTAGGCGCTACACTAGCGCTCTGTTAGTTCGAACTTAATTCGAACTAACGGAGCGCTTAGTTTGAACTAGGTAAATCTCATTTTACGAGGATTAAGCCTAGTTCGAACTAGCTAGTTCGAATTAAGGGCCGTGTAGACCCTTAATTCGAACTAGTGGGAGGCTAAGGCTTCCCAGGTTTCCCTGGTGGCCACTCTGGTTAACACCAGGGAAACTCTATTGCCCCCCTCCCGGCCCCGGAGCCCTTAAAGGGCCACGGACTGGCTACACAGTTTGTGCCAGTTGCAAGGCTGCCAGCACCCGTGCCTCCGCACTAGGCACAGGAAAGTGGCCGTCTAGGGCAGGAGAGCTGCCAGCCTGGCCACCCAGGACCAGGTGTGCATGAAAATCAAGGGGGTCCACTGAGACCCCCGACACTGAGCCCTGAGCTTACAATGGCCGTCCTGGGTCAGACCAAAGGTCCATCTAGCCCAGTAGCCTGTCTGCCAACAGCGGCCAACCCTAGGGACCCCGGAGGGGATGGACTGAAGACAGTGACCAATCCATTTGTCTCGTGCCATCCCTCTCCAGCCTTCCACAAACTTTGGGCAGGGACACCACTCCTACCCCCTGGCTAAGACTACTCCATGGACCCAACCTCCATGACTTGATCTCACTTCCCTTTCAACTCTGTTCTAGTTGTAGCCTTCACAGCCTCCTGCAGCAAGAAGTTCCACAGCCTCCTGCAGCAAGGTTGACTCTTTGCTTTGTGAAGAAGAACTTTCTGTTACTAGTTTGAAGCCTGCTACCCATTCCTTTCCTTTGGTGTCCTCTAGTCCTTCTTTATGGGAACTCAGGAAGAACTTTTCTGAATGCACCCTCTCCACCCAACCCCTGCTTTTAGAGACCTCTATCCTGTCCCCCCTCCGTCTCCTCTTTTCTAAGCTGAACAGTCCCAGTCTCTGTAGCCTCTCTTCATCTGGGGCCTGTTCCCAACCCCTGATCATGTTAGTTGCCCTCCCTTCTCCCAGCCTTTCTCTTCCCCTCTCCCACCTCCTTTTCCCAGTCTCCCCCAGTTTTGTTCAATAAAGACAGAGTCAATGTTGGAAGAAACGTTATCTTTATTTTGTACATCAATAAGAAGGGGGGCTAGGGAAGGGTAAGTGGAAGGAGGTGAGGGAGGAATGGGGTACGAGCCCCCGATGGGGAGGACTGGGCTGGCTCTGCGGGCTTCTGGGGGTGGAAGCTCTCCTGCAGCCCCCCGATTGCCCCGTCTCCTCAGATGGCATCCTGCGGGAAGTGCAGCCGGGCTGATGGCCGAGTGCTGTGATGTGCCCAGTGTGGGTAGTCCGGGCAATCCAAGCCAGGACTGCTTTGCAAGCAGGGCACCCCTGAGAACTGTCTGTCCGGGGTGGGGGTCGGGACCCTTTAAGCGCAGCCCTCGGCTAGCCTGAGACAGCATCTCCACGCTCTAAGTCCTCCTCTGATGCCCTGCCGGCACTGCTTCCGGCCATCCTTAAGCCCTGTTCAGAGTCCACTTAATGTGGACTTGCTAGTTCGAATTAGCAAAACGCTAATTCGAACTAGTTTTTAGTTCTAGACGCGTTAGTTCGAATTAGCGCTGTAGTGTAGACGTACCCTGTCAGAGTGGTCAAACACTGGAATAAATTGCCCAGGGAGGTTGTGGAATCCCCATCTCTGGAGATATTTAAGAGTAGGTTAGATAAATGTCTATCGGGGATGGTCTAGACAGTGCTTGGTTCTGCCGTGGAGGCAGGGGACTGGAGTCAATGACCTCTCGAGGTCCCTTTCAGTCCTAGTATTCTATGATTATTATTTCCAATGGGTTTGTTGGCCCTACACTTACATGACATTGCAGAAAGGCAAATTACTTAGGGTATGTCTGCACTACTACCGTAGTTCGAACTAGGGTGGTAGTGTAGACATACCCTTACTGATTTATATTAGGAATAATTCAATCTGCTACTACATCTCTAGCCTTCCCAAACTGTTTTGACATCTCCTACGGTATGGGAATGGCGTGGTGCTGGGGGGGAGTGTGGAGCCACCATGCGTCAGAAGAGCTGCTGGGGAGAGCACGAGCAGTAGCACAGAGCCCCCGGTTGGCAGCAAAGCTACTGGAGAGAGAATGAAGCTCTGGATGGCAGTTGAGTTCCCAGCCACTGCAGGGAGAGCGGAACTTCAGCATGAGAGTGGAGCCCCAAGTGGCAGCTAAGCCACTGGCAAAAAGTAGAGCTCCCTTCCCCTGATGCTGTGGGGAGAGCAGAGCCCTGGTTGGCAGTGGAGCTGCCTGGGGAAAAGCACTGCCCCTGGGGAGCCAGGGGGAAAGCAGACCCCCCCACACTGCATCGACCTCCCCAATTCAGCAGATTCCCTAGTTCGGGACCAGGCAGGTCCCAAGGGTGCCGGACCAGGGAGGTACAACCTGTACTATCAGTATGAAGAGTTATTGAGTCAGTTGCCAAAATGTATCCTGCTGGTAGAGATCTTTAAACATTTTTTTCTTAGCATCTACTTGCTCTTTCTACAACTTTGTTCTGTGGATTTATTCATGTTCTCACATACTGTTCATTTTCCTTGGTTCAGGCGTTGAAATCTGCTGAAGAGACATCAAACCTTCCAAACGGCGAAGTTTCGGCTGAGGAGCACAAAGTTGCAGAAGTAATAACTGAGTATTTTGTTCACTCTCAGAAGTCCATTTTCATCCATTCCAATCATTCAGCATGTTATATCCCCACTGAGACCCAGACCAACAAAACCTTTACACAAAATGCTTAACATTAAGGCTACGTCTACACTGGCCCCTTTTCCGGAAGGGGCATGTTAATTTCAGCTATCGTAATAGTGAAATCCACGGGGGATTTAAATATCCCCCGCGGCATTTAAATAAAAATGTCCGCCGCTTTTTTCCGGCTTTTAGAAAAGCCGGAAAAGAGCGTCTACACTGGTCCCGATCCTCCGGAAAAAGCGCCCTTTTCCGGAGGATCTTATTCCTACTTCAAAGGGTGCTTTTTCCGGAGGATCGGGGCCAGTGTAGACGCTCTTTTCCGGCTTTTCTAAAAGCCGGAAAAAAGCGGCGGACATTTTTATTTAAATGCCGCGGGGGATATTTAAATCCCCCGCGGATTTCACTATTACGATAGCTGAAATTAACATGCCCCTTCCGGAAAAGGGGCCAGTGTAGACGTAGCCTAAGACTTTGAATAGTTCTATTGAATTCAAGATTATGGCCCTTTTGCCTAGGAGCAGAGCTAGAGATGAGATTTTTTTAATGAACAGACAAATGAATTCTAAGGACCTATTCACGTACTTAAGAAATAGGCTTCTTTTGTCTTAAAGGGATTTAGTACACTGAGGCTATGTCTAGACTGCAGAGTTTTCCCAAAAAATCTCTGCTGCATCCAGGGAACGCATCCACTTTTTTTGAACATTTCTGAAAAAACGGGCACGTTCTTTTGGCATCCCTGTATTCCTTTCGATGAGAGGAATAAGGGATGTTCCAAAAGAGGAGGATGTTCTGAAATTTGGCACCGTGTAGACGTGCCACGTTTTGGAAAAGCCTTTTCTGAAAAAAAGAAAAAAAAAGGCGGAAAAAGATACACAAATTGCAGTTCACAATTTGCATATCTTTTTCTGAACAAATTCTGCAGTCTAGACGTAGCCTGATACACCCACAGTTTGTGTGTGAATGTGTGATCTTGCAAAGCTCACACAAACTTGCATAAGCACTAAAAATGAAGAGCTCTATACAAGCCGCTTGTTCATTTCCTCAGAAAGAAATCATTCAGATCACCCGATGTCCAAATAAATATGGGCAAGTGTATAATGGCTACCTGGTGGCTTGAAACAGTGAGTTTCTGAGAGAGCACTTAAACAATCAATTTTGTACATCTATTGTCTCCTCTTTCCCGCTCTGTAACTGTCTAATGTTCTGTGTGTTGTGCTTTCCCTTTGTTGTCAGGAGACTGAAAAGTCTGCAATAACTGAAGAAAATGAGGCACACACAGAAGACAATGTAGATGCCATCACTAATTCTACTGAACTACCATCAGAAGAACATGAGGTAATTTTTTTTCTTCTCTAGGAATTTAATCCACATCTGGGCTAAATTCATTAAATCTGGACTTCTTCATAAAAATCTTTAAATCCGTCAGCGTGAGTCTCAGGCTGCAGCTCACTTATGTTGATCTAAAAATATCTACAACTGGAATTTGTGTGAATTCTTCTTCAAATTCACAAAAAGTCATAGATAACATGAAATGTTAGTCAATGTGGGTAAGCTTTGTTCTGGGTCTTGACTAACAATAGCTGTCTTTTAGAACAGCTTACCTTGCGATTTATAAACATGCACATTTTTTTTAACCTCACCTAGAACCAAACACTAGTATGAGGAATAATCAGCAAACTTAAACACTGTCAATACTAGAGAGAAAAGGTGTTGCCATCAATGGTTCAGGCACCTGAGGTGCTTGTGAAACCCAACTATCCCCAAGTAAGAGTGCTCCTAATGTTGCACAAGTCTTGCCAGTACCACTCCGAGTGCATTGCCTTGGCTCAAGTCCTATAGACCTGAGTTTAAGGTCAAAAGGAACTATTGTGATTTGTTTAATCTGACTTCCTGCACATTGCAGGCTACAGAGCCTTACCCATCCACTCCTACAATAAACCCTTAACCTCTGGCTGAATTACTGAAGTCCTCAAATCATGATTTAAATACTTCACGTTACAGAGAATTTGATTATTTTCATTAGATTAAGCCTGCAAATCACCCAGAACCCATGCTGCAGAGGAAGACGATGCCTCGCCCCCAGAGTCTTAGCCAATCTGATCCAGGGGAAAACTTCTTCCTGACCCCAAATATGGTGCTCAGTTAGGGTATGTCTACACTACAAAGATAATTTGAACTAACAGATGTTAGTTCAAATTAACTTTGATAGGCGCTACACATACAAACCGCTAGTTTGAACTTAATTCGAACTAGTGGAGCGCTTAATTCGAAATAGGTAAACCTCATTCTCTGAAGACTAACGCCTAGTTCGAATTAAGTAGTTCGAATTAAGGGCTGTGTAGCCACTTAATTCGAACTAGTGGGAGGCTAGCCCTCCCCAGCTTTCCCTGGTGGCCACTCTGGGCACCACCAGGGAAACTCTTCTGCCCCCCTCCCGGCCCCGGAGACCTTAAAGGGGTACGGTCTGGCTATGGTGCCTGTGCCAGGTGCAAGCCTGCCAGCACCCAACCAGCAGACCCTGCACCTGGCACGGCACGAGCCAGCCAC